TTAACTATACCTTATGAATTGAGATGAGTTTAACGATATTGAAAATCCATCGAAACGTTCAAATTACTATATATGCGAGCCAAAGAAACAAATATCTATTCATAATACACTTGAAAATTATTTCTCTCTTTCCAGGGCAATCGGGTGAAAAAAACTACATTGATTCCTGAATAATTACATTAACTGACATTATTTAAAAATCAATTTTTTTCCAATTGATTTATAAGCCACTATAATATAAAAAAAATCCGATGTAGATAAAATAAATTACTTTCCCCATACATATCAATTTTACAATCTCATTCTTAATATTCATATACACTATCTTATATGGTCCACTGTATACACACAATGCGGGAGGGGTATTTCTTCAATGAAATATTAACTTTTTTATTTTTCATTCAATCCATATTTGGTATTTTGAAAATCTTTATAATTTTTTCACGACTCACAATTCAAAGCAATAAATAGAATAATATAATATACACAGTAAAACAATTTTCGTCAAATTTAACACAAATATTTGTGTTACTGACTATTTTTACACAAACTAATGTTAATTAAACATTCTAGTTCGTAAATCAACATATGAGAATGTGAAATTCTGCACACTAGAGTGTAATTTTCTACACAAAAATTTTTACAATGTGTAAAGACACATTGACGAAAAATTTTTTACTGTGTATTATGTTACATTAAACGTCAAATAAGCATTGAGTTCATTGAGTCGTGCAATTTTCGATTTTCCAATATTTTTATTTAAATTAATTTTTTCATATTAAATGATAAAACAATACTTTCGATTTCAAATAAGAGTAAAATTAACTAACTTACTAATAAAGTTTAAAAAATAAAAAAAATGATTTAGGATTTATTGGTGGCTAAATATTATATTTTTATTGTAAATATTTAAACTGAAATGTCAATCATTAATTTGATATTAAATGATCAAGTGACGCGTTAAACATATATCAAAATATACATATGTGCGAACGTCATGTCTCTATTTTATAATTATGCCGTTTATTTGTATGCCAGTTGAGACTTGTTAATTAGTTTCCAGTCTATATATAAAATTTCTGTAATGAGTATGTTTTATCTCACTGACAACTAAATTAACAATTCAATTAATTTTTAATTATGTAAAATTAATTGTTAAATTTGAGATATTAAGAATCAAAATGATCGGAATTTATCGATCGAGTTATTGAAAAAAAATTCTTCATTTATTACACTGATAAAAGGATTTATTTGTATTAATAGTTAACAAATCATTTATTAGAGACCACTTTTTAGTATTAAACAAATATTTCTTAGTATTTAAAATGATTTGTTAAATATTAACAAGTATTTTTACCTATAAACAAATCCTTCTATCAGTGTATTGGTTAAGGCGCGCGCAAAGCATGCTATTTAAATTTCTAGTATACTAGAGAACTAGTATTCTAGTATAACTATATAGTTATATACAAAGAAAATGTATATTATGCACTGAAAAAAAAGTTTTTTTCCTCCTAGAAAACTTTTTCCTGTGGTTAAAAAAAAAGTATTCCTAAAATAAGAATACCAAAGTTTACTATCCATAGGAATAAGTTTACTGGATATAAAAAAACTTGGTATTCTCATTATTAAAATACTACAATCAATATGGCCGACTTAACCTCGCTTGGTCGACACGAATCTTTAGGATAGATAATTATGAGAAACTATACTTTTTATAATTCTTCATTTATAAACAATCTATCACACTAAAATTAATAAAAATGGAAAATAGTATATTAAGCCTTTCTTTTCTTATTGTTGTCAAAAAATTGCAATTTCCTGCTAATAGCATTATTTTACTAATTTACTAATAACAATAACAATAAATTTTTATATTTGATCAAGATTTTTAGATACTTTAGGGAAGCAGCGCCACCTACTTCAGCTGAGAAAAAAATTTTCCTTTTTATAATTAATAACATTACTAAGGTAAAAGACCTAGTTATTGACACTTGCTATTTTATTTTAATTAAAAAAAATAAATCAACTCTGATAATTTAATAAATATTATATTTGAATTATAAATTTTAAGATAATTGGTTTTTTGAGAACATTTTATTTTTTTAATTAGAATAAAATTGCAAGTGTCAAACAACTAGGCCAGTGAAAATAACTGGGTTTTCTACCTTATTATAAAAATTGATTTATAAAATGATAAATTGATTTGCTAAAATGAGTTATAAATTTGTTGGAGATGATAAATTTCATTCTGACAACTTCTTTTGCATCCAAGAATTCATATAAGTAAGGGAGTAAGGGGAAGTAATATTGATGATTAATACTTTTATTTATAATTTATAAATTATTTAATTTACAGAAATAAATATTTAGGTAACTAGACTCAGGCAGGAGGTAAACTAATAACTAAAAAACACGCGTACATTGTAGATTGGAGGGAAATGACAAAATAGTGACGCCACCGTCACGGTTGCTATGGTAACATAGAATTTAGTTTTAGTCCTGTTAAAAAACTTGGTATTCTCAGATTTAAAATACCAGTTTTCTTAAATCTAAAATATTTAACTTGACTTTTACTAACTACAAGAAAACTCGACTAAAAAATATTCAGTATTCCGGGTATAAAAAAACTTTTTTTTCAGTGTGTTAATAGATATTAACCAAAAAAAAAGTGAATATTTTTCTGGATCATTCTAACCCGTAATTTTTTATACATTAAATATGTAGATTTAACGTTTCTAGATATCAATCAAAAACCACAACACATAACTGTCGATATTGATCCAAACGAAGAACCCTACTTTGAAAAAATTTGTGGCGATTATGTACTATACATCATCGGTCGCTATTCATGGCTTTCACATTCAATTTGAATTTATATTTTTTTTTTTTTAATAAAATTTTATCGCAACATTCCAATCAGTGAGAACACTTTTTCACATCTGTTACGTATATTTACCATTTATTATTTCATAAATAGTGTGCGATTAATTAATAATGAATGTAGTTCAAAATCAATAATACTGTTAAAAAGAAAAATTATTACTGAATTGATAGGAAATATCTTCGAATCCAATAATTGTCACATTTATTTAAAAAAAAAACTGTCGTTAATAATTTATAACTTCTTTATAGCTTCTTAGGATTTCAAAACGTCGAGACTTGATTAAAACTTGATTTTTGAAAAACGGTGTAAAACCACTAACTTCCCAATTATCGAAAATTTTCAATTTTCTTAGCGGAAAGTTACAAAATATATCAAGTAATTTATTAAACATTTACATAATTAAAACTACAAGATGTTCTAAAAAGTACAAATGATGGACTCGACCGAAAAAAAAAAATTTACATTTCGTAAATCGTGAAATCCTAAGTACATCACTTTGCTAATCCGTTATTTTTTTCTTTACGCCACTTTATACCGCTTTCTACTTCGTACTCTCGGAATTTTGTTACACTTCTATTGTCTACGTTCCATCATCTCTTGTTTCTATATCAGTTTTATCACCACTTAATTCTCTCACTGTTTTTTTTTTATTTTTATCGTTTCCTTTCATCGCCAGACATTTTCTTTACATTCCTTATTTGCCATAATTTTGATTTTATGTTTTTGGTTATTGTTCTCATACCTAATAATTTTTTAGTACCGTATGTTTTTTTTATCTTTTACTTTTATTGATTTATCGACATATACTGTGTGTTGTCTGTTCAGTTAAAGAAATTTTAAAAATCTCAAAATAAAATGAAAAAATTAGAAAAACGGTAGACCCTGAAGACCATCCGTGCAACTTCTCGCTAATTTCATACCTAGGTGTGCTTAAAATTGCACTAATGATGTTTTTGAACTTTCTGAACTACAAAATACAATTTATGTGTTCTTTTGAGTTCTCTTCGAGCTCAAAAGTCTGATAGAAGTTTGATAAAACACAATTTTTCAAATTTTCAAACCGCAATAACTGTTAAATGAATTGACCGATTTTCACGCGATTGGCAGCATTCAACGTAGTTTTTTCAGCCTTATGAAGAATCTTCAAGTTCGAATAAATGAAACTAGGAAATTTGGAGTAATTCCGAAAAAAAAATTTTTTCGGTTTTTTTTTCGTCAACGATAACTCACGAACGAATGAACCGATTCTGACCGGACCGGTGGCGATCGACGTGGTTTTTTGATGTTAAGAGCTGATTAGTTTTTGGAATCGATCGGTATAGCCGTTTGAAAGTTATTCCAAAAAATGTCTGTGTTATGTTAAAAAAATCCTTGTTTCCAAATATTTCGTCGAGGATATCTCTCGAACAAATCAACCGATTTTTACGTTCTTGGCGGCGATCGACGCAGTTTTTTGAGTTCTAAAAATTATTTTATTTCACTAAAAACGATCCGAAAAGAAATGTCGAAATGCGAAAAACTCGATTTTTGCAAAACGGGGTGAAAACAATAACTTCCCGATTTTTGAAAATCTTCGATTTTCTTAGCAGGAAGTTAAAAAATTTTAGCAAAAAAAAATTATAAAAAAAATTTCACATGTAGAAATTGTAATAAACGGTCTTTGCAACTTTTTAAAAATAATTTTTTAGAAATCAAAATCTGGTGAAACATCTTCCAAGAGTCACAAAAAAAATATTAATTTTTTAGAAGGTTTTACTCAACAAGAAGTTAAAAATTAATAACCCTGTTTTAAAATATTCATTGAAAAAAAATGCACTATCATGAGATTTGAATTTTTTCAATAATTTCAATTTTCAGTGTATATCTATAGATATATAATTTGCATACAGCGAATTCTTTTAATTTTTTTCAATAAGTTTTTTTAAACAGGGAATTGCCAACTTAAATTCAAAAAAACTGTTTGTGTCGCTTATAGCGTGTCGAATAAAAAAAAAAAGTTGCAGTGGTATTATTTTTTGTTTTATTTAATTTTAACATTAAATGATTAGCATTACAGTATCTATACAGAATTTTTAGAGTTAATATTTTAATAATATTTCGCTAAACAAAAATAATGTCGAACGACACAAACAGAACAACGGTTAATATGAAAGAAGATGGAGGTTATTCCTATACAGATGAACACTCGATTGTTTACAAGTGGGAAATAAATAAAATTGAATCATTTCTCAGGTCCGCCAAGAGTGCAAAAGGGACGCATGATTTAGATTCTCCAGAGTTTTCGGCGGGTGCAAAGATAAAAGATTTATGGTATGTAAAACTTCGAATTCAAAATGATGATGCCTCATCAGAAAATAAGACGTGGGTGTCCATATATTTAAATTCAAAAAATGGAAATAGAAAAGTCCAAGCAAAGTATTTGGTATTTATTTTAAATACTAAGAAGGAAAAAACAATAAATGCATTGATAACTTATAATCAATCATTACATGATCATATTTGAATTAACTACGTTTTTGATGGTTCACAGTCAGGGTATGGTCCTAGTAAGTTTGTAAACATAAATGAGTTGCTGGTGAACAAAAATAACTTTTTGCCAAATGATACACTGACAGTTTGTGTTGAATTAATTGTTTATGATGAATACATTGCAGTCAAAAATTCAAATAATTTATTAGAAGGTTGTAAGCGAAAGTTAAGCGATGATTTTAAAGATTTTTTTGAAACTAAGAAGAAATGTGATGTCGCTATTAAAGTCGGTGACAAGGAATTTTGTGCTCATAAAATGATTTTGATTGCTCGCAGCAGCGTATTTGAGGCTATGTTTTCGCATGATATGAAAGAGAACAAGGAAAATGAAGTAACGATACCTGATATTGATCCTGAAGTTTTCAAAAAAGTTCTTGATTACATTTACACTGACAGAGTTGATGACTTAATCAGTTTTGCAGAAAAACTATTGGAAGCGGCTGACAAGTATCAGCTTCAAGGACTCAAAGACTTGTGCGAATGTTCCCTATCTAAAACTTTGACTCCTGGAAATGCTGTTAAAATTTTAATTTTGGCAGACCGTCATTATGCAAAACGATTGAAAGAAGTCGCAATCGATTTTATCACTAACAATTGGCTCAAGTTTAAAAATACTAAAGAGTTCAAGGAATTGGAAAAGGCTGATGCGTCTCTTGCATGTTCTGTACTAAGAAAGGTTGCTGATAAAGTTCAAAATTAGTGACGGTATGTTATGATTAATTTATCGGATAATAATTAAAAACATTTCAGTTATTAATTTTTTTGTATCTTTTTTTCAGGTTTATTCTCTGAAGCAGTTTTTTAAAAATATCGTTTGGAGAAAATTTATGGATGAAGATATTACCTAAAGTGTGATTTATAATCTAGCAAATTTCTGGCATTTGGAGTATGACATAGTGTTTTTTTTTTTCAATTAATATCAAGCAGACAAGAATTATTCATAAAAATATTCTCAATTTACTATGTATAAATATTATTAAAAAAGTTTAGCATATTCTTTTTTAAATTCTATCAAAACTTTAACATCATTTATCATGAAACTTTTTTTTCTATTGTTTTAATTATTAAATAAGAAAATAAAGTGAATACTTAATAGAATGATGAAATATTTAAAATATTAAAAAGATTATGGCTAAAAATTATCAAAATATCATTTTTCTTTTCTTGACTTCAATTTCTTTCGCTTTTGTTGATAAAGAAAATACTAACCAAGTTTTTAAAACTCTAAGAAGATATAAATGATTTATAATTTCTAGTGTGTAATTATTGAAAAATAACTATTACAAAGAAAACTTATTTTATTCAAGGATTAATTTTTTTTGTTAAGGGGTTAGGTGGGTTTCAGAGGTTCAAGAAAAGGGTATTTTCACTATTTTTTTTTTAGTATATACAATCGTATATTTTATTTAAACAATTCAGCATATCAAAGATACATATTTAAACAGTGTTTTGTGAAATTTTTATTTAAAAATTCCGAAAACTCAGCCGTTGATACCTCATCTCCCTTGAAACAATAACTTCCCGATTTTTGAAAATCTGAGATTTTTAGCGGGAAGTTAAAAAACACATTTTTTGGTCAAATTTTCACCATGTGTTTGTTCGAAAAAATTAGTTGTAATTAAAAAAAAAATCCTTCGTCCAATAATGAAATTTATCCATGTTCTAACGAAATATGTTTAGTTCTTTGATTTTAGATGAACCAATAATGAGTTATGACGTCCACGGCAAGAGCATTTTTTTTTGAGACGTCAAAGGACAATAACTTCCCGATTTTTGAAAATCTGAGATTTTTAGCGGGAAGTTAAAAAACACATTTTTTGGTCAAATTTTCACCATGTGTTTGTTCGAAAAAATTAGTTGTAATAAAAAAAAAAAATCCTTCGTCCAATAATGAAATTTATCCATGTACTAATGAAATATGTTTAGTTCTTTGATTTTAGATGAACCAATAATGAGTTATGACGTCCACGGCAAGAGCATTTTTTTTTGAGACGTCAAAGGAGATGAGGTACTCAACGGCTGAATTTTCAGAATTTTTTAATAAAAATTTCACAAAATACTGTTTAAATATGTATCTTTGATATGCTAAATTGTTTAAATAAAATATATGATTGTATACACTAAAAAAAAAAAATTAGGAAAATGGTTGACCCTGAAGGCAACTTCCCGCCAATACTATACCTAAACGCTTGAAATTGCACTTATGACGTTTTAGAGCTATTCGAGCTCATAAATACAATTTGTGTATTATTTTGAGCTCTCCGAGCTCAAAAAAATAGCTTTTGTATGCTTTTGAGCTCTTCGAGCTCAAAAGTTTGATAAAACACTATTTTTTAAATTTTCAAATCGCAATAACTTTTGAATGAATGAGCCGATTTTCACGCGGTTGGTGGCATTCGACGCAGTTTTTCAAGCTTCATGAAAAATCTTTAAGTTTATATTGACAGAGTGGAAAACTTCGGAGTAATTCCGAAAACACTTTTTTCGGTTATCTTTCGTCAACGATAACTCACGAACGAATCAACCGATTTTTTTCGGTAGCAGCTACCGATTATTTTTTTCCGTGTAGTAATAAGCTACTTTTTACTAATAATCTCACACAGAAAAAAAAATGTTCTTGAGTCAAGTATATAATTTGGAAGAACTTAATATTCTTGATTTGAGTAGAAAAATTCTCGATTTAAGAAAATTTTTCTTGATTTAAGGAAATTTTACTTGATTCAAGAATTTTTCGTCTTGATTTAAGACAATTACCCTCTTCAAAATTATATTCTTGGTTCAAGAATTTTAAAGATACGAAAACTTTCATTCATTTTTACCCTCAAGAAAATAGTTATTTTTGACTCATGGGGTGTGAAATAAGAAATTTTGGTACGTTTATATTTTCGATACAAGCTTAAAGTTGTGATACATTCTCAACGCAGTCGAGTACGCTGTTAATACTTACGAGCCACTTGGCGAGATATCGATTCTAATGTATAATAATCTTATAGTCAAGTTTTGAAAATTCAAGCTTTCCAAATTATTCGCTTTTTACACAACGTATCAAACATAATTTCTTGAAATGATCACTGCGAAAATGTGACAAAAGAAAATATAACTGAAAAGTTTGATGATTTCCGTAGATTTAATTTAGTTTGGAAATATAAGTTATAAGGTAAAAAATGCATGTTGTCTACAAAAGAAGTCTTATGTACAAGATTAGATTGTGTGTCATTCAGTTTTCTTTTTAGACCTTTACTTCACCTAACGAATGATTATAGAAATAACTTTAACTTTTGTCGGACGGAGTATTTTAAAGATTTACAAAAAAAATGTAAAGAGAATAGAGAAAGAAGAAATAGAAACAGTTGTTAAGTATTTGTATCAGAAAAGTAACCAAATAATTGTTTGTAAAAGAAAAGTAGGGCAGAAGTGGAAGTTAGGAGGTCAATTGAACCGCGGAGCAACTGAACCAATGGACCTGAAAATTCGATAAAAACGAAGAAATGAAATATCCTGGCAGAATCATTTTCCAATACACTTTACCCTGATTTTCTCAAAATTTAGAATCATTATAACTATTTATTTTTGAAAAATTAAAAATTTTGCGTTTGTAACAATGTATAATTTTTTTAAATCATGGCAAAAAATTTAGTATTGTTTGAATTTGTTTATTTTGTCAACAATTTGACGACCAAATTACTACTTTTCAAAGGCACTTGATTTATTCCAAACATGAGTAGACAAAATAAGAAAATCTATACAGTTGGACGACTTGACACAGTGGCTCGCGACAAAACTCAGCAATGTAATAGTCGCATATTTAATCCCAGGGATATATTGTCTCGTTTGTCTATCGTAGTATTTGTACTACAACTTCGTGCATATTGCAGGCCTTTGTGCAGTAATTATGTTTAATATCGTTTTTGATAATTACACACCTCACAATACGTGTGTATTTAGTATCCTCGAAGGATTAAGTCGTCTTTATACCCATAGTTAAACACGAAATCCGTTTGAAAGGATGTTTGTCTCCGTAAGCTCACAGTATATGGACCATAATGTAAGATTTTTTGTAGAATTTCACCCAACAAATAAAAATGTTTAGTAGAGTTCAAGCATCTATTATCCACTGCTGCTTTACCTCTATATATACAACGCTCTAAAATTGAACTTATAAAGTAAAGATTGCATAAAGAATTTTTTCATTATTCATGCAGAATAAATTCTGGCTTTTCGCGTGTTATATTTTTTGATAAATAGCTGCTTTGCCTATTCCACTATAACGACGTTTCTCATGAACGCATATTAAAAATGTTTATTTGCATGCCGAAACCACACTTGTCGCACATGAATAAACAACAAAACAGCTAAATTTTCAATAGTACAATTTTAGTACACAAGTACAAAAATCGATAAGAGAGCTATCTCTTGATATTTTGTATCATTCATTATTAAAAAAAAAAAAAAAAAAAAAAAAGTAGTAAAACAGTTTACCCTACAGGGCATCCCTGCAACTTCCCACTAATTTCGAATACAGAGCACTCCAAATTTGATCAATTACAAGGTTTTTGAGCTCCCTAGCGGTTTCGGTGCCACCGATAGAACTCTGTAGAAACTCGTCCGAAACTCAGCGTAACGACGGAGTATAGTCGGCGTATATGGGGAGTAAACTCGGAGTATTGTGTGCAGTTGTGACACATGAAGACGATAGTGGTTAATTGGTGATTAATTGAGATCGTTACGATGTTTGGTTGGAATTCCGCTGGTGTTCTCATGAAGTTTTCCCCGAGTTTTATCGGTGTTTTTTCGGATTTTCTGTCAAGTTTAGTCGGCGTCTTCACCGAGTTTTTGTGGAGCTTTCCAAGAGTATTTTGCGAGTTTTATCGGAGTTTTCTGAGGGATAATGAATGAAAAACCGAAAAAAATAACCCGGACAGACCGGGACTCGAACCCAGACCGTGTTCCATACCAAGTCAAGGACTTAAGTCCCGGCCAGAGACCATGATAGCCTAGACCGGTTGAATGAAAAATACTGGTGGCTTCACGGTGAAGCTAAGCATTTAGATGAATTACGACGGAGAGCCAGAATCAAGAAGCAGCAATTCCAACAACAGCAAAGAGTACGACCACTCTTAAACAGCCGAAGACGTCACAGGCAGTAAACTCTTCTGCTACCGCAGAATTTTGTAAATATTGTATATATTGTAAATTTTTAACCCTTATCCCATCCTAATACTCCCCTCCTGACTCCTTCTCCCATCCCTGCATACCGCCTTGAGAAGGCAAGTTAAATTAAAGTTGCAATGGTTTTTTATATTTTAAAATTTTAAATTTTTCCATAGCATTAAATATATTCTTACAGTACTAATAAATTTACTTTTTATAATAAGAGAAAATTAATAATTTAAGAAAATATTTATATTTTTTCAACCGATTTTTGATCAGAGCATCATCTGATGACATATCAAAATAAATTATATTAGTGATTAAGTTTTTTTTATAAGAATATTATTACTTAACTATATATAAAGAAAACGCTGAAAATAAAATTCTTTTTCAAACCAAAAGTCAAGGACTTAAGCGGTCAAGCTAGCTGAGACGTTGTCTGTAGCTACTATTCAGTCACCTAATAAGACCCGCAGTAATAAACAAAACTTACGGAAACCGATTAAAGTTTTGAATCACTTTATGTATTGATAAAATTCTAATTTAAATTATGATAATATTGTTTCAGTGGATCAACTGTAAACTTATGACAATTTTTTTATGATGTCATTTTTTTATGTATCGTATATTTTACTTATAAACTTCATAATATATTTATTGAATAACATATTCTATGTAGATAAATATATTTAAACTTGTAAATAAATAAATAAATTAATAAAAACTACACCGTTATTGAAAAATGATTTATTTATAGTCATCTTTGTGAAATCAAATTTAATTTTCATCCCATGAAGAATTATTAATCGCGAGTAAACTCCATAAAAACACTACCAAAACTCCGAAAAAACACTACCAAAACTCCGAAAAAACACCAACGAAACTCTTATAAAGCTCCGCAAAACATCGAAAAAAACTCGACAAAAACTCCCTAGCTACTATGAAAATACTCCACAAAAACTCGACGAAAACGCCAAAAAAAACTCCACTGCAACTCCGAAAATATCCAACAAAAACGCGAGGTAAACTCCATAGCGACTCCGAAAAAACTCGTCGAAAACTTTTTGAAAACTCTAATAATACACTTTTCTGACTCCGTGTCGTAACTGCACGATACTCCTTGCATACACCTCTAAAACTCCCCGTAAACTCCGCTTATACTCCGATTAAACTCCGAGAAGGCGTATACTCCACAGTAACTCCGCGTAAACTCCGAGTTTACGCTGAGTCGTCGAAACCGCTAGGGCTTCTTTAAAATTCAAAAATATCATTTTACAGCTATTTTGAGCTGTCCTAGCTTCAAGATAGAGTTTATGTTCAGTGCAAGACACTTTTTTGAATATGTTTGAATTACAGTAACTTTCAAACAAATCAACCGATTATGATGTGCTTGACGGCATTTAGCACAGTTAAGAGAGCTTTACCGAAATTTTCAGGATTTTAATTTTTCGCTAACGATTTCTTTTCAACGCATCAACCAATTTTGATGCGATTTGCACTAATCGACGTTGTTTTTAAGGTTGAGAACTGGTTAGTCTTTGGAATTGATCAATACACGTTTAAAAATTATCTCAAAAAAACATTTTTGTGAAAATTTTATTTTTTAGATTTCTCAAAATCTACCGAGCTCAATTGATTCAAATTTACATGAAATTTAATGGCAATAAAACTCTGATGAATGTCGTGAGCTTATTTTAATGGGTCCTGCCATTCAAAAGTTATAAGGAGCTTGCGCGCGCGCGCGCAACACACACACACACACACACACACACATATTCATACGAGGGGATATCCTCGTAGAAATAGTCAGAAAAGTTTCCTAGGACCTCAAAACATGGAGATCCGTTAAAAACTCGATTTTTGAAAACTAAGGTGAAACCAATAACTTGCCGATTTTTTAAAAATCATTGATTTTCTTAGCGGGAAGTTATAAATACAAAATAGGTACTATTCTGTAACATACTAGCTAGCAAACATATACAGAATTTATAAAAATAATGAAATACTCTATTGGATGACGATATTAAATTATTGGGATAATTATGATTTTCTTTATTCCGAGGAGTCAGGATCAATAATTACAGCTAAGACAAATTATTATTCACAATGCATTTCATTATTTTTAATTCAATATGTCACTCTACATTATATCTTAGAAAAAAAAAATAGTTGGAAATAACGATATAGGTATTGTGGGTACAAATGTAATATTTATTTTTTATTTCACTTGATTCATGAAGTTCTAGGAGTATCTTATTCAAGTCGAAAGGTTTCTCGGTTTGTACACGAAGACTGGAAATTGCAATTAACTCCTTTCGTGTGATGAAAAAGTCAAGGTAACTCGAGAATGTTGAGTTAAAAGCACTTTTATTTGCTTGTTCAAGTATAGTAGCTATCGTCGTTCGCCTCTTCTAACAGTTTTTTTATTTATCAGCATCGAATAAACATTATTTTTCCATTGTCTCCACCCTACACTCATGCTTTTATAAATTTTTCATTTGTGAAAATTTTTAGAATTCTTATTAGTATTACTCGTAACCTCAATTTTGTGTGACCGTAAAAAATTATTTTGTGTTATATTTATCAATGAAAAAAATTAGGAAAACGGTTGACCCTAAAGGCCATCCTGCAACTTCCCGCTAATTCCATACCCGAATGCTTAAAATTACTCTTATGACGTTTTGAGCTCTTAGAGCTCAAAAATATAATATATGTACTACTTTGAGCCCTCCGAGGTACAGACATACAGACATCGTAAAAATCGTCAAGGAAGCTTCCTAGAACCTGAAAACGTCGAGATCTGATGAAAATTCGATTTTCGAAAAACGGGGTAAAACCAATAACTTCTCAATTTTCTTAGCGGGAAGTTAAAAATATCCCGTACAAAATTTCGGAACAGAACATTCTTTTGTACCTTTATCCGATAAATAAAGAGCAAAGGAAGTCAGTATAGAATCTTACCCAGCAAAATATCATTTTTTTATAATTAAATATAATTGTTTACAATAATTTTCCGAATATTAAAACAAGAAAATAAAAAAAACAAGATTTACTTTATAACCAATAAGGTGAAGTCCAACTTCCATGTAATTACTAACTTTGTACACTGTAAAAAATTCGGGGAGTGATTTGCGGAGTGAATGATTTTTAATTGATTCCATTCGCTTTGGAGTGAAGTTCACTTTTCGTTAGTCAATTAATTTCAATAAAATTTAAGTAATTAATTTTATTTAATGAAACACAGCAATGTTAAAAATTTATTATTTTTTAATTAAAAACAAAATAGTCTTTAAGTCAAATGATCTTTCTATTTGTCAGTAATTTGGCATATAAAACTTATTTTAGCTAAATAAAAATTGATTTTAGTCTAGAAATTTGTACTCAATGTTTTTGAGATTAAAATCCATATTTACTACATCTTTTTTCGTACTATGCACGAATAGACAAGAGTCTGAATTTGTAGGTCGCAAGCCCAGCTTTTTCAATACACAACTTGGTTTGTCGTACTACTTTTTACCAGACTGCTCTAGCCCGTGTATGGATTTGTGCAACTAGCAAACTTGATCGCCCTTGGCGAGATTCTCCAACATTGTCAATGTTCACTTTTGCACTTCGGAGTCTCTTCTTTCGTTTCGGGCAGTTTCTTCCAATGCTTTCTTTAATCAACTTGGAACTTCTACACGGAAAAAAGTAAACTGTAATATTCACTCGGATTCCGGTTAATTTTTATAGTTCCAAACAGTAAAGCGGACATCGGGGTGGCAAGAATATAAATATTACAGAACTTAATGTAGAAAGTATAAAACCCACAATTTATAATTTAATATCTAAAATAAGTGATTAGTAGCTGTCACTATAGTAAATAACGACTCTTTCATCTTAAAAAATTACAGTTTCAAACAGTAAAAATTGCCATTTCAATATGTAGTCCATATTATGAGGAGAAGGAGAACTCAGATGATAGAGAAGGGGGTCCCACTCTGGGAGAATTTAACATTTCAAACAGTAAAAATTATACTTTTAAAATATACATTTTACCACTCCAAGCAAGTCAATAATCACAGTTTGATTTTTAGCGTTGCGTTAAAAATTTACGATTTTACTTAGTAAATATTGACTTTGCTTGTATTAGAAATTTACTAACTTTATTTTATACTTTTTACATATCATAAGATCATTTTTTAGGTACGAAATGATAAATATCAAAGTCTGTATTCTTAATTATTATACTTTAACATTTTAGACATTTACACAGCGAATATTACTGCTTGAAATAGTATTTTCTTCCATGTAAAGAGTAAATTGTAACGTTTAAATGGTAAATATTATAAAGTGAATAGTAAAATCACGATTTTACTGGTTGAAATGGTAATTTTTAGTAGTTGATCATTACTTATTATAAATCGACTTTTATTTATTACAGTTTACTTTTTTCCGTGTATATACAGTTCTTCTGTACAGGGAGATTAAGTTTTTGGTTCTATAACATCAGTCATCAAATTATTTGTAATCAATCTTATAAGAGCAATATTATATTATAAATTTATTTTAAAACTAACTAAGGTGGAGATATTGTCATTAAAAATATCGAAAAATTATTTTTTTAAAGTATAATTGTAAATTTTCGACAGCCATATAGTTAATACGGGTGAATAGTTTCATTAATAATGAAAATAAAATTATTATTTTATTTTGCAGGACTCAGAATTATGCATTGCTCTTGGATTAAGCCTTCAATACTTAAGAATTTCAGTAGTTTGTTGGGTAGCTGCTATGTGTCATCATCTTCATGCAACTGTATCATCTGTTCCTGGGTGTGATGATCGACCAGTTTATCTAAAGTATAGTATATTCGCTTGGGGTGCACCATTACTAACTCTTGGAGCATCAATAGTTGCCCAAACTTATGAAACGAACGATTTTTGGAACGTCACGGATTTAACACCCTTTAACTGTTGGTAAGCTCTTTATGTGACCTATTGACCTCTTGAAAACTTATCATTCTATACTCGTTTGTTTTTAAAGCTTAGATTGACTTATTCAACTATATGCAAGTAAAATAAAAAATATCCTGACCTTAAAAATTTAGTCCTTGAACTTTTCACTGAAAACATTCGATTCTAATTTATAAATTAAGACACGTACAGCATCGCATTAAATGTTAAATTACTTTCACGTATATTCAATTTTGATTTGATGTTGATCTTGTTAATTTCAATTTAAATACCAAGTCTTCAGAAAGACTTACATTGAAATTATAACAATGTTGAAGCGAAGACTACAATAGATGATAAATTGGTCATGAAAAGCTACAGATCGAGATATTTAACCGCCGCAATTCAAAGACAATGATAGACGAACAATGGATAGTACCCATTCCTAGTGAACTTTTGCTTGCAACTCTTTCATAGATTTAATTTTGATTTTACGGAAACGGATTCATACACGAAAAAAATAAAAATAAAAAAATTACATTATATAATGTAACGTGGCGCTTCACATAATAAAACTGGAAAAATTACAATTTCAGATTGTAATTTTTACAGATTTTGTAAGAATTACATTTATATTGACAAAGTTAGAATTTTAAAAATGTTACTTCGACCTGCAATTTTTCTAGTTTTTAATTTTAAGCGACATTTACATTGTAAAAAATTCAGAGTGAATCTGGATTTTAATCCGTAAAACATCCAAGTACGGAGTTTTTATACTATAATAAATTTTCATTTAACTTAACTGAAACAAGTTTTATGTATCAAATTATATTTTTTTCGTCGGTATAAACTAAATAAATAAATATACATTTATCAAGTGAATCAGCATGCGAATTATATTTTAAATAAATTATTGATTTTTCGGCAGATTATGATTAAGTATACTTAACACGTTAATTAAATTACTGTTTCGAGTATTAAACTGGTTCCAAACGGAATTTATCGGAGAATAAATAATATACTCTCATTTTACACATGTAATTTGTTTAGAAAATTCGTAGTAATATTCACAATGTTTTTGATCAAAATGCGTTAAAGAAAAACTTGGAAAAATATTTTTTTTTTATTTTTCCCAACCCAACGTGAACCATGTTTAAAATTGTACATTAAAATTATTTTGCCAAGTTTCATCTTTTTTCCTAGTCTAAATAAAAATATATGAAAAGTTTATCAATAAAACACAAAGCAAACTATACACCGGATTAAAAAAAAAAATCATTTTATTCCAGTTATTATAAAAAGAATGCATTTAAAAATTTTCCGAACTTTTAAAAGTTTTTGTTAATTGAATCACCATAAAAAAAAAATTAAAACTATTAAGAGATCTGGATTTTTGTAGGATACTTTGTGGTAAAAAAAGTCAATAATATTTGTCGTCTATCATAATTCTCCTCTCTTTAATAAAAAAAAAAATTCGTAATATCTAACAGAAAATAATTTCAAGTTCTTAAAGTGATACATAAATTTTCCATAAATTATAAGACTATGTAGTAGTTATTCATGGAAAATTTGCAATATCAAGGGATTGAACTCAATAACCATTAATGAATGTTGTCTAATTACAGGTTTTTGGGTACTACGGCCACGGTCTACACTTACAGTATACCGATCATGCTACTTATTTTAATCTCCATGTACTATCTTTTGAATGCTGCTATTATAGCGAGGTAATCAATAACTAATACTTCTTTGAACCGAAATTAATAAGCTACTCTCAAGAGAAATCAAAGATTATATCATACCAGGATAGTATACTTAAGTTGATTAATTTTATTTCTATTGGCTATTCATTGCAGATATACATACAGTATGCACCTAGAAATAAAGCAGCGTGAAAAGATGAAAAAACGACAAACTATTCAACTAATACTTTTCACGAAGATTTGCTTAACAGTTTGCTTCATTGCTGGCTGTGGAGTTGTAGCGAGAGTATGGAAAATACCTCTGCTGTGGGCTATTTTTTGTACGGGACACTCACTCCAGGTCAGAATAAATTAATTACTTTTTTTAATCCATCTGTGATGTGACTCTTTTGCATACTCATTTACCCACATTTTTTGTCCTACAGGGTCTCATCGTGGCAATTTCTGTGGCTTGCAATTGTAAAATATTAAAAGTCTACGCCAGAAAGCCAATGCCGTGCAAACAACAGGTCTGTATGCAAATTTTTAAAATAACAATAAGTGTATTGATTGAACTGAATTTTTTGTTACAATATAGATTGCGAAATCATCAAGTATGCAACTGTTGGCTGCACATCCTGATCCAGTGTAAAATAAAACTTCTATCAAGAATAAAAATTTATTTTTAACCTACTTGACCAAAATTGACAGCGCAAATTTTATGTGCTATTTATCATCATTGCTTTAAATTATCTAAAAAATACTAAAAAATATTTTTACACAATCGTATTATTTTTTTTCACCTACTTAATCTTTAATCTGAGCATTAATCCTTTAATCAAATCATAAAAACTAAGTAATCAAACTTTATTATAATTCTACAAGTAACTTTGGAAATTTAGTATAAAATGATTGTAAATAAAGTATAGACAAAGTGTGATAAGTGTAAACTTATAAATATATTATAATGGTCTTTACCTTGAGTATTTTGGAATTTCAATACTTCCACCTCCCTCAGTTTTTCCAAATCTAAAAAAATAAAACTCTTTAATAATATTGGCTCTTGTTATAGGTTTAAATTAAGATAAAAAAGAATCCGGTTAAAACCGACTTAATAAAAAATTACAGTATCAATAAACAAATTCAGAAATGATTTTTGATTAAACATTTTAAACAATTTTTTTTTTGCAAGTGTGGAACTTTTGATTTTGTAGTATAGGATGTGAGAAAATATTTGTTTTTCACACTAGTGATATAATAATGAGTTTCCCCACTCGCTATTCAAAATTTTTTCGAATCTTTAACCATTTTCATTTGACAGTCATACTTTTTTCATCAGTTAGACTTAAGAAAAAAAAGTTTTATAATATTCCAAAAGTTAATATTGATGTTAAAGGCTGAAGTTTTTGTTCAAGGCAGTGAAATCATTGAAATCCAAACATCCATTAAATAAGGGCCACTCTTATATGTGAATATATTTAGTTGGGTCATTTTAGAACAACTATTATTATTTATTCACAATCAATTCAAATTATAAATTCTTGAAACCAATCAAAAATATTACGTATTTCTAAAGAAATTGATTACACGTAATTGCATACTTGTAATATTTTACGGGAAGTTTTAGGAGTATAAGTTGCATAAAAGACATCGTATGACAAAAGCTAAAATGGCGTATAAAATTTTTTTTGCCAATCCCTAATTGACAAAAGCATATCGACGATCTAATTAGCAATTGGTCTAACTCCTTACTTTTTAGAAGGTGATTTTTTAACATTTTGATGTAGTAATAGTCTAATTATAAATTATTTGAATGATACAAATCAAAATATTATACTTCTAGAAGCTATTAAATTATTTTTTAAAGTGATAATAAATTTTGAACTAATTGTTTTTTCACACAAATGGAAGATTTTCTAAAATGGAGTTAGACAATTTGCTAATTAGAACGTCGACATTCTAAGTTAAATAATAAAAAAAAAAAGTTCCCAAAGCCAAGGAAGCGTATGTCTTAAATTACACATCCTTTTGGCTTAATAAATTAAAAAATTTTGTGATCTGAAGCCAACAGGACGTATAACTTTTTTTTATCATCTTATTATGCATAAATCCGTTGTGTACCTGTTGTCTACTGTTAATTTTCATATCCTTCGATATGATTTTAATCGAGCTTTATTTTTAGCACTTTTTGTCAATATCTTGAAATGAAACAAATTTTTTTATACGCTTTTTTGGGCTAAAGAAAAATTTTCTGAAAATTGGAAAGGAAAATTTTTTTTTCAATGTATTCCAAATGAAAAAAGGGACCCCCTATACACCAACTCAATTTTTGAAGTATTGAGATGCAATTTTAGGCAAATTGTTTGGTTGCATCGAGGAAACTTTTGACAGACATTTATTTAAAAATAAATTTTTTTTCTGATACGATCTAATAATCATATCTTGTCATACATGATCATACATCGTGATTACCTTAAAATTTCAAACTTTTTGAGAAGCTATTTTCTTTTAAGAAATTCCAAAATTATACAATAATACTTAACGTTATATAATGAATATAATAAACTTTTAACAAGAAATTTTTTTACAATTTTTATTTAGTATCTTGTTATTCTGCGTTCCCTCCCAATAATGAAATTATCTATATTATTAAGAGAATAAGCGAAATTTTGTGGCCAGTGTATTTATATGGTAAAATGGGTTTTTATGGTTAAATTTGGTTTCGTTGGAAAGATCTTGACTTGAAGTTGTGCCTTCTCAATCCCTGACGGATCCAAAGTGCGGTAGAGTACGGTAATGTACGGAAAATTTACGGTAGAGTACGGTACGTACAGTGATTTACCGTACTAGTACAGTATGACACCGTAAATTACGGATATTGTACGGCAAAGTACGGTATTGTAAAGTTATTGTACGGTAAGATAGCATGATTGTACAGTAAAATACCGTAATTGTTAGTAAAATACTATAATTATCCGGTAAAAAAGTACTGTTTTGTACGCTAAAGTACCATAATTGTATACAGAAAAATAAATTAACTTAATTCAAGAGAAAAATTCTTGAACTAAGAATATAATTTTGAAGATGGTAATTGTCTTGAATCAAGACGAAAAATTCTTGAATTAAGTAAAATTTCCTTAAATCAAGAATTTTTTTACTCAAACCAAGAACATTGAGCTCTTCAAAAATATATACTTGATTCAAGAACATTTTTTTTTCTGTGTATGGTAACTTATCATTAAAATAAGGTATATTTGACGGTAGGTTACCATTGGAATACGGTAGTGCGGAAAGTTCAGAAGTATATATTCTACCGTATTTTCACCGTACGCTACCGTAATTGTACCGTAATTTTACCGTTATATACCGTATTTTCACCGGTCTTTACTGTACGTTACGGTGTTTTACGGTTTCTACTGAGCAAGTTGAATGCTACTGTAATCTACGGTGGCCATACGGTATATCGACTGTATTTTTACCGTATAATACCGTAATTCATATCCGCCAGGGATGTTTCATATGCTTTTCTAAAATAGTTTATTTATTATGATAAGTTTTCGAAGTAGTTATGTATAAATAGATTCGAATTTAGCGATAAACAAAATTTGTTTATTTATTTATGTTGTTTTGTACACGTCAATGTGGTTATAAGTCAAAAATTAATTTATATAATTAAGAGACTAAGAAAAATTTAGTAACGAGTATATCTTTATCGTAAATTGGGTTTGATATTTTTTAGCGATAGTTATTTATGATTTAAATAATTGAGAGAGAAAGGAAAATTTTGTGACGAGCATATTATTATTTTTAAAGAAATTTTTATAGTTTAATTTGGTATCACCAGAAAGGTCGAGACAAGAATTAGTGCCTTTTGATTTTATATATTTTTTAGTAGTCAATTTTTTATGTCAAGTTTTCGGAGGAGTTTTTAACAGTTTTTTGGTTTTGTAAATTTGTTCGGTCACATTTGTCCATTAAATTATTTGTAATTGATCCTGTGATAGCACTATTATTTTTTAAATTTATTTAAAAAGTACCCAAACTATATAGAGTGTGATTATAAATATGAAAAAATCATTAAGCCAAAGTTTTCTTATTCTTAATTCGTAAATCTCGGCAGTCACATAGTGATTGTAGGTTGCTAGTTATTCATTAATAAAAATAAATAGTACAAAAGTATATGATACAATTATTGATTACATACATTTATGTTAAACTGATAATACGTTACATTCTTTGTAATATCTAATACCATCAACTATCAGCAGCACAGCGGACGGGAAATAAAATTCAATGCGCATTGGGATTACTGAATTTAAGTAATATTGAAAATGGTTCATATTCGACAGGTGATCGCTTGCGGATTATCGTATAAATATATGTAAATCTTTGTAGTTATTTTTTTTTCGTATTTTAATTAAAAAATAAAAAACTCATATGGTATAATTTATACTTGGAATTAAATAACAATAATAAGTAAATTATATAATTAAATTATTCGAGAGTTCACAATATCAGGCTTGATATGTTTATATGCCTCAAGGTATGTCCTGATATGGCCATATCAAAAATTTTTGACGGGTAATGAATAAAGAAAAATATTTTTTAAAAACTTAAGTTTTGAAATTTCGCCAAATTTACCAGATCAAATTTATTCATACTGTTACAAAATCTGAGAAGCCTTTGAGGACCTCAAGACGTTGATCTAATAAAATCTTGATTCTTGCAAATCAAACTGCTATAATCTGCCCTGTCATGACAAAACGACGTATCTCGAGATACGCTGTTTTGTCGTAACAAAGCTAAAAAGATTTTTTTAGTGTCACTTAATGATAAGGTATCATCAAAATTTTACTAATTTAATTAATCATGTCAATAATATTGATTAAATGTGCGTATAAAAGAAATGAAAAAAAAAACGTATCTTTTTTGCATTGGAAATTAATATAACATTTAATTCTTCGAGTTACAGCGTTTTGTCATAACAATTTCATTTATTTATCAAAATGAGCATTAGTTTTTCAAGATAAAAAAACGTATCTTGAGTTACGACGTTTGGTCATGACAGAAATGAATTTTTCTGTTAAATTGTACCCAAATTCTGTGAAAACTTTATACGCTATTTGCTTGACTTTATGATTTTCGAGATACGTCGTTTTGTCATGACAGGGCAGTAATAATAACTCAATATTAACAGCAACTCAATTATCGAAAATTTTTCATTTTTTACACGCTTTTTATTAGCTTCACTTGTATGTCAGTATGTCAGTATGTCATTCAGTATGTAACTCTCCGTGGGTAATTTGCGCGCCTGCGGCCTTCCTTGGTTCTGGTAGCCGTTTCTCAGGCTCCCTCTCCGAAATCGAACTCTGATTCCCCGTATTTATAATATTTATAAATAATTATTTTATTCTCACTAATCAATAAATTACTTACTGAAAATTTAATTTAATAAAAATAATAATTTAATAAAAATAATAATTTAATAATTTAATTAATAATTTAATAATTTAATAAAAATAATAATTATAATAGTTTAAAAAAACTAAAAAATCACGCTTTTATAAATAAACCAAACTAAAAAGTAAAAAATAAATAATAGTTTAAAAAAATCATTTTGATAATATCTTAAAAAGCACCCCACGCTTTTTTTAAAATAAAATACATTTTTTTTATTTACACTATTATTAATTTATATTTATTGAAATTTTTAACACTATTCTTAATTTAAATTTATTAAAATTTATTTTTTATTTTTTAGTTTGGTTTTCTATAAAAAGCGTGTTTTTAGTTTTTTTTAAACTATTATTTATTCAATGGGACATTAATATAATTTTTATTCTGAAATGATACACTGAAATATTTATATGACAAATAAGTAATGATACGAATAAAAAATAATTTTATTTGTGAGGTCAACAACAAGCCATATCAATCTGAATAAAATGTCGGTTATGAATGTAACAAAACAAGCTGTGAACTTTGACTAGTTTGTCGATGTAAATTCGCATTGAACAGATGTACTTTAGCTATGCCTTCATCAATATGTATATATAGATCATGATGTCAATGTCGATGATGCAATTTGCATACTTAACATTGCCTCACTGTAAATGTATAGGGAAACTATAAACTAGGGCACCAGAAAAGTATTTAGCACACCTAAGAAGCTGAAAGAGTAATTTTTCTAAATTTTAAATTCATTCATGCTATCAATAAGTTAAGATAAACATTTTATGGTACTGTGATCTTATAATTTTCTTTGTTACATTAAAAATGACATCATCAATATTTATTATGATATATTGTATGTATAGCTAAAATTATATTATATGTATAGCTGAAATTACATTATTGTTTATACGAGCTGCGTTGCAACATTATTTTCCTTATCGTTTGAATTAGTAAGAAGAGAATCCCTCTGAATCTTAGACCAGGATGAGCACTGGAATAAACGTAAGAACGTAAAAACTATGAGTTCTACGTTATTATATATATACGATATAATGCGGCTTGTCACGACGATAGCGTCAACAATTCTTAAGGGATCTCAATGAAACTCAACATACTTATTCTATTGACTATTAGGAAGGTCAAGTTCAAATATGAGCTTAATCGGTCAAATAGTTTAGAAATTACAGCATTTAAAAATTTTGAAATTTCGAAAATTTGATACTGTCTCTACTTCTTATTCAAATAACTTTTGAACGCGTCGAGTTCAATTTGTGTGCTCACATTTTTTTCTAAAGCAAAAAATATCCATCTTAGGATCATTTTAAAGAAATTTTACTCTTGCAGTCGTTTAATTTCTCTATACAATACTGACTGAAAAATACTGAAGTACAATAATTCTTCTCTTTATTGATTGAACGTTATTTATTGCACGCCTCATAGCGCGAAGCGCGTGAGGTTGTGCTTTATACTCGACTCGTTAAGATCAAGCAATTTTGTGATCTTTAAATGCCTCTATCACAACCATATTACACTTATACAATGATATAAGTAGATGTACACCGAAAAAACACTTAAATTAAACCATCTGTTACTTTCTAAAATCATTTCATGTTGCTATTTTGAAAAAAAAAAACGTTTTGAAAAAAATTTTACGTGGACGTCCGGATGTCACCCCATTTTGGATGTACCAACGATTACTCCCGAACAAATTGATATTTCAAGACCGGACCTTTTTTATTAGTTTAAGAATTCGATGAACTGGGTCCGTATTGCATATCAATGGCCTAGCTTACGTATTTTTTTTTAAATTGAATTTTTATTAAAATTCACTACGATACAACCGTACAAAGACAAACGAATTTTTCTTATATGTCACGTGAAAACTATGGCGCCACTTGATCAAGCTAGACTTTTTTAGACTGCGAGCCCATATGACAAGAAAAAAGGGCGCCGATATTTAAAAAAAAAAAATAAAAAATACTCTGTAAGAAATTACTTAATGATAATTTTTTTTTTAATCAATTACACAATTAATTTTTTTCTTAAAAAATGAATAAGCGTTATGAGGCGTGCACTTTTGGATTTTCCAAACTTTTTAAAGATATAAGCTCATATTCACTACGATACAAACGTACAAAGCTAAACGAACTTTCCTTATTTGTCACGTGAAAACTATGGCGCCACTTGATCAAGCTAGATTTTTTTTAGACTGCGTGCGCGCATGACAAGAAGAAAGGGCGCTGATATTTAAAAAAAAAAAAATTCCCTGTAAGAAATTACTTAATTATAATTTTTTTTTTTTATCAATTACACAATTAATTTTTTTCTTAAAAAATGAATGAGCGTTATGAAGCGTGCACTTTTGGATTTTTTAAACTTTTTTTTTTTTTATTCAATCCTAGTAGTTTTTAATTTTATTCATCATGAAATCTACTTCCATTTCGGCTGCCGAATGGCCTTTTTAGACCTAGACTTGATATTTAATTAGAGTATTGTTTTGACTTGCACAGATTTCAAATTCTGTCGAATTGGCATGCACCTTTTAGCCATGTAATTATTCTAGCTAATATTCATTGTAACTTTTAATGTGCAATCATTATAACATTCCCGTGTCTTTCTTACAAAAATGAATAATAATTGATATAAAAAAAAATTTGTAATGAGCATTGAAAGTTTCAGTTAAAGAAATTGCAGGTCTCATAAGTGAAGAAATCTGGCTAGTATATAAACATAACCAATAGAATTAAAAAATTTATTTTAAACAAATGACAATGAGTATAGATTTTACTTGAATAAAAATTAAAAATTTTTTTGATCTAAAGGTCTTAAAGATTAGAAATAATATATTCATTATTGAAATTAATGATTTCATTTATTTAATAATTAATAAGTACCAAAATCAAAGAAAGTGTCAATAATGGGGTCTTTTACCCTATTCATATTTGGCGCTTACAAGCCTAGTAGTGAGACATCTATACTCGTAGTATTTACTGTAAATTATAAAAATTTTAATTAAAGGACGAAATCATTTCGCAAATAAAAATTCGTCACTAACTATAACTCTAACTAAATTTAACATAATAATAAAAGCATTTCACGTTTTTACGATAATTTTTTATTTAAGAACAATAATGTTACGGTCCTGAGCTAATGCTCTCATCAAGAAATCCCAATACTAGCCTTAACCTATGTAACAATGTATAGCGCTTGACGTATTGCTACTTATGTATTCTTTTAAATATGTGCATTTAGTTTTTTAAATCATAATCTAAATAAAGTAAATAGTATATATAATAAATATGGATTAGTACTTATATTTACGTTTGATAGTTATGAATTATATATGTGAAAAATTTGAGTATCTGTATTATAAACAAATTCAATCATGACAATAGATAATGTAGTATTATTGATAAAATTTTTCTATTTGTCATAATTAGTAAATCAAAAAAAAAATACAATGATCCTGTGTTATGAAGGAAAAGTTGGTTTAGGTAGCTTTATTACTTCTTTAATTATTGCAACATTACCAGAAATTCTCTTATGGATTGAATTCAGCTGTTATATTCATCAACTTCTGGTAAATGTTTGGTTGATTCATCTATTTCAATATGGATTTCTAAACTTGTTGATATTTCTAACCTTCAAAGGACTTTTATACCAAGTAAGTACCCCGTGTAAAAATCATTTGATATAATGAGGTTCATTATGAATATCATAATAAATCATGATGCTGAAAGTAGGAGACATCTGACAATTTTTAGGATTTTTTTTAACAAACAGATTCTTACAAAAAAAAAAAAATAGAAAAATTCACATACAGAAATTTTGAAGTACTAAAAGTGAAACTTTTCTAAAATATATTTTTTGTACTAGTTTATTTCTTAAATAAACTAGTAATATATAGTAATAAATTAGTAAAATTTTCATTTTTTCTGTTAATCAGAAGAAATGTATAATAATTGAGAAAAACAATATTTTTATCATGCACTATACTGTTTAACTACTTTAATTTCTTCCTTGATATTCTTAACTTAGAAAAATATTAAGAAAAACACTAACTATCTTGGTTTAAAAAAAATTTTTGACTGAAAAAATTTTTCGTCTTAAGATAATTATTTTTTATTTTGAAAATAATTTAAATCCTCCTAAAAGTTTCTTTAATTTAATCTATTTGCATTATTTCCTATATATAATTATGACTCAATAATTTTATATCACGATTTAAAAAGGCTAACAATATCACTATGATCTGATATCATTATGATTTTATGCAGATGTGACCATCACTTAATTATGAATTCATGTTAATATCATAATGATTTCATAATTAAATTTCTAGAAATTTTCTTTATCCAACAAGAAAAATAAAAATTTTATAATCTATTTAAAAAAAAAATTTGTTCCTATATTGACACAAATATGAATTAGTTTTGAGATTAATCCAAATTTGAAATTGATTTGTATACAAATTTTATATATAGACTAAAAAGTGGTCTCTAATAAATGATTTGTTAAATATTAACAAGTATTTTTAGCTATAAACAAATCCTTCTATTAGTGAGTTAAAATATGAATTTCAATCTCAAATTCATTTTGATTCAGAATTTTTTTTGCACAAGTAAGATATTTATGGGAACAAATTTTTTTTTAACTAGATTATAAAATTATTTTTCTTGTTGGATAAAAAAAATTTCTAGCAATTTGATTATGAAATCATTATGATATTAACATGAATTCATAATAAAGTGATGGTCATACCTGCATAAAATCATAATGATATCATAGTGATATTTTTAGCCTTTTTAAATCGTGATATAAAATTATTAAGTAATAATTAATTTTTACGGGTATCAAATGTATATCAATATGGCTTTTATATAAATCTCATATTAGTGTCAGAATATGAGATTCATTATGATATTCACAATGAACTTCATCATGATATCAGATGATTTTTACACGAGACCTGTTTAATTAATTTTATTTTTATTATTTACTAAATTCCTTGTTTGTTTCAGGTAGCCGTAAGATCAGCATTTCTTGGTTATATTTTCGGAGTCGGAATCCTAATTTTCATATTAGCTTCACTGTCATGGAGATGTTTTGGAATTTATATCACCGTCCTGTCGTTCTTTCACTTCTCTGAATTCTTCACAATTGCATGGACTAATCCGAAAGCAGTGTCAATTGATAGTTTCATTCTGAATCATAGTTTAGCCTATAATACAGCGGCATGCTCTAGTTGGATTGAATATTTTTTGGAACGATATTACTATCCTCAACTAAAGTCACCTGATTTTATTTCCTATGTCGGTTTGATAATATGTATCTGCGGAGAAATAGTTAGAAAACTAGCTATGTTTACGGCTAGAGATAATTTTAATCATCTTGTACAAATGGAAAAATCTAAAACTCATCAGTTAGTCACTAATGGAGTGTATAAATTCGTCAGACATCCAAGTTATGTTGGGTGGTTTTATTGGTCGATTGGTACTCAGGTAAATATTGTTGATTTATTTATTCAGTTATTAAAAATATATTTTTTATTTATACTTTAATTTTTATTCTAGCTTATACTGAAGAACCCCGTCTGTTTGCTGGCGTATGCTGTCGCATCGTGGCAATTTTTTTATAACCGCGTAATTCTGGAAGAAATCACATTATTAAGATTTTTCGGAGAAGATTACATAAAATATCAAGAAAATGTTGGAACGGGATTACCATTTATCTCAGGATACAAACTAAACACGTAATAGTTTACAATAAATTCATTTTTGCTATGCAAAATGTCATTAAAGAAATACCTCTGTACTTTTTTCAAATCGATGGTCTAATTAGCAATTGGTCTAACTCCTTATTTTTTGGAGGGTGAATTTTTAACATGTTGATGTAGCAATAGTCTAATTATAAATTATTTCAATGATCCAAATCAAAATATTATACCTCTATTAGATATTAAATTGTTTTTTAATAATTGTTTTTTCATACAAATAGAAGTACGAGAATTTTTTCTAAAATGGAGAGACAATTTGCTAATTAGAACGTCGAAATTATTAATTGTATAAATATTTTGAAGCTCCAAGATTTTCAATAGTATATCCTAATAGTCAAAGGTAATTATTTATTTATTGTTATATATTATGATGCTAATTGTTATCTCAAGCAAATATCAATATTAGTAATTTGGATTTCTAATAGAGAAAAAAAAAAAACACTTGAAAACTTCCCAACAATACATTGTAAATAAATTAACCTATTTAAATATGGTTTGTACACTGAAAAAAAAAAGTTTTTGACTGGAGTGTAAATTTTCTTAGCTCAAGAAAATATTAAGGAAGGTTGTAAATTTCTTGAATAAAGTCAAAGTTTCTTGAGAAATTTTTTCTTGCTCCAAAATATCTTTCGTTTTTCTTAAAATTTTCTTAGCGCAAGAAATTTGTTTTTTGTGTATAATAATCCAGACGAAAAATAACATTACAAATAGTAAAAAGCGTCGCTTTAAATTAAAAATTAGAAAAATTACAGTTCGAATTAACATTTTTAAAATTCAAACTTTGAATATTAATTTTCACAGCTTTAAATATAATATTTATATTTTACAATATAATTCTTACAAAATATGTAAATATTACAATCTGCAAAATTTTTTTTTAAAGATAATAAAACTTATCAAATTTTATAATTAATTAATTGAAATTTATTATGAATAAAACACTGTTGACAGTTTTTATTTCGAAATTTTTTCAAATCTACTTGTGCAATTAAATTTAAACTTTCAATAAATTTTATTTAAGTGAAACTCTTTAAAATTTTAATAGATTTCAATCGATCAATTCACTAAAAAATTTTTCCAAAGCTGAATGCTATAAAAAATATATTTTCTTTATAAATATATAGTGGTAAGATTAAGCAATAGTTTTTTTTTTTTTTAATTATTGCCTTAGTTATTGAGAGATGTCTTGTTCATTCTAAAAATGCTTGAAAAAAGATTGTAAAAAAATAAGTGAAATTATTTTTTTTCTTCATTTAAGTTTCCTTTGTTTTTTAAACTATGATTAAATTTAACAAAATACTCTGTCTCATGAGACCTCGCTTGTCTGATAGTAATTTAAGATTGAAACTCAATGTGGTATCTTGAGAATAATAAAATTTAAATGTTTTATCGAGGATAAAAAAGATTTTTAGTCATTTATGTCGTTTTATATCAAAATTATATTTATTGTCATTTTAATTCACATAATTTATACATTTAACAGTACATACACTACACTTTCATTTTTTCATTGTTTACTTTCATAATTTAAAGTTTTATCAAATCAATAAATATTGTCAAGTATAATTTTAAATATATTTTTTTACAACTCATGCCAAAAATTTATTTTAGACAGCCAAAAGATAGGATCGTAAATTTACAAATACCATTCATTATTAATTATACTACACTGAGACCAAATATCCTCTGATCTAAAATTTTTTTATAATTTAATCATTTGAAAAAATTATTAAATTGAAAAAATAACTCAAAATTAAGAAGTTATCTCTTTTAACAAAAAATTACCTTAATTTATTTTTACTGTGTTTTAAGAACATACATAAATTAATTATTAGTTGTTGATAATAACATATTCTATAAAAATGGTTGTTTTTGGCCTTTAATGAATTCTATAAAAAATGGTTGTTTTTGGCCTTTAATGAATTTCGAATTTTATTTCTAATAAAAAAAGAACGAATAAAATTATTGATAAAATTTTTTTATTTCAATAGTAAACTTTTATGTAATACTGCTATAATTTATGTAAAAACTATGTACGTTAAAAAAATTTAGTTTTCGTTTATTATTATTATTATTATATCAAAAGCTTTTTTATATAATTGGTCGATTATTGTGAATACTTTCAAAATTCAAAAATGTGAAATTGAAACATAATATAATCGACGTTACAGTTATTTGAAATAAATTCAAAAGATATATATATAAACTACAGTAAATTTAAATTATATAAAACATTATCAATAAGAGGTATTTATCGTTTTAAAATTAAATTTAAGTAATAAAATAAATAATACAATAGAACAATTTACTGATAGCTAACTAAACGCAAAACATGAATATTTCATTAAAATTATTCAATTTTAATGTCAAACTCTACGTTATATTTATGTATAAAATTATTTCCACTTTATTTGCGAAATTTGGAATTGATAATTGTATTTATTTAAAGAATTATGTCGATTATTTTGATATGCGCGTAATTAGCATTAGTCTTTTCATTGATATTCCGTTTCAAATAACATATGCATTATACAGAACTAGTTACCAGTTGATAAATATAATGAAAATGTTATCAAGCAAATTCCAAAATTTTTTCTGCACCTCCAAGATCACCTCGCGTTGGAAGATCGTTGGTTGAAATATTGGAATTTCTGAAATGAATAAATTTTGGATTATCATTAAAAAAAACTGACTATTTTATTAATATAATTGATGTACTACTTTTTTTTTTAATTTATATTAATGATTCAAATAATTTCAGTTGTATTTAAAAACCGGTATTATCTTAGAAATTGTTTTTTAGTATTGACTTTTTATATAGTTTAAAATAATTTTGAAAATTCAAGTGTGCCTTTATACTTTTTGTTCTAATAATTTTTAATGTTAACGCTGCGATAAAACTTACAAAAAATAATAAAATTTTATGACAAATAAACTGTTTAAAGATATGATAAGTACTTGAATTAAAAATAGAATAATTTTTTTTCAACTTTCAAAATTTAAATTTTTTATAAAAAAACTTTATTGAAAAATTGAGAAATTCACATTTTTAAAAATGTTTTTTTTTTTTTTCTAAATTGTTTGTTTTTACAAACTTAAAATCCTTAGACTTATGAGGGCACATTTTATTAACGATTTTCGGTCGGCATAAAATTTTTATTAACATTAAAAGCGTTAAAACTAATTGAAAGATATTGTGGACCCCATTATGAATCAATTATCTAATTATTTAAAAAATAAAAAAACTGTTTTTTTTTCCTAAGGATAAATGAAAAAAAAAGTGAATCAACATAAAATTGTAGAAACAAAATATTTGTAAAAACTATATTGAAAATACTAGAATATTTTGCTACAAACCTTAACCAGCTTGTATGATTCCATGCAATTTTTGCTCATTTATTTAATAAATTGCATATTATTATATCTACGATGTAACAAATCATTAAATGATAATTCCAGAACTGGAACTTTTTTTTATTTTTTTTTTTTTTTTTAAGAAAAAAATAGTCATTTTTTTTTTTACTAATAAATCTTGTCAATGATTAACGATCAATAAACATAACATTTCAACAAATTCACTAAAACCAAATTTAAAAGCAGTCCATAAATCCCGCGTTGTAATTTCAATTGAATAGTTAAATCAGTAATTAATTGCACAGAATTTTGTACAATAATAATAATAACGATAGGACAGAGAACTTTGAAATTACGTGGAGCAAAATTAATTGCGGGTTTGGGATGGATTATATTAACAGGAGGTGGTGGTTCAAAGTCGTCGAATCCATCGGATTCAACTTCAGTAAATACCAAAGAAGATGGATTCCACCTCACTCTGATTAGCAGCGTGAAAAAATGCAATCTATCAGTTAATAATAACAATAATTATACAATAAAATAAATAATTGAACTTACTTTGTACAAGGGGAAACATTTTTACCCCTAACCATTTTGTCTCCCATAAAAATAGCACCAGAGTCTTGTACTTCAAGAGTATAAATGCATCCAGAGAATCCGTCGTGATATTTTCCATAAGTCATTGCATAGTCCGGCACACCTCCCAAATAAACGTTGCCACGAGTATTAAGAGTCTTTTGAAGACCATCACTGACTCCAATTTCAGTGTGATCTCCATTCAATTCTATGCTTCCATCAGCTCCCTGACGTTTCAGGATTATTCTATGACGCTCTCCATCATCTACTCTCTGAGTCGGAACACGCATCACTGCTGGTCCAGAGCCCAAATTGTATTGATATTCAATATATCTGTATTATAAATTAACGTCATTAAATTAATGTCTCTTATTAATTTTTTATACAATCAAAATAGTCTATATTGTTAATACCCGTCAATAACTGCTAGTGCTACATAATCATCAGGGTTTAAATTATTAGGAGTTTGTCCATGCCACATAATCAAACCATTGCTTTTGTTTGTTGAAATTTCAAATCCAATAACTTCACTCTGTTCATCATGAGTCATTAAAGAGTGATCTAGCTCTAGCCAGCCATCACCTCGGAAAGAAACATCATAAGCTATCTCGATCTCTGAAATATAAATAATTACAATATAATTCATAACATCTATTAGGGTGGCACATAGAATCTATTATTTTTTTTTTCAAGTTTCCTATAAAAATATATTAGTTCATCATGCTTTATAGCTTCGAAATTTATTTTTAAATCGTTTTCGGTGTAAGAAAATAATTACTAGTGCTTGAAAAATTGCATCAAACGCCGCCAATCTCGTCAAAATCAGTCAATTTGTTCGTCAAATAGGATAAAAGACCCCATTAGTGGCGGGGATCCCATTTCTGACACTTTCTTTGATTTTGGTACTTAGGGGCCATTCATTAATTACTTAAGGACAATTTTGGTGACTTTTGACCCCCCCCTACCCCCCTGTAAGTATACGTAAGATTTCTCGAACTCCCCTTACCCTTTCTTACGTAAGATTCTTGATCTTTTAATTAATAAAAATACGATAATTCACGGAAAAATGTACTATAATTTTTTCTCTAGAACCAAACATGAATAACAATAAAAACATATGAAATATTAATAATTTATTTTTTTTGTAATAATCTATAAAAATTATTAAAATAAAATAAAAATTCAGCTGTACCCTTTAAAAGTAAAAAAACTATTTGGAATCCAAAATGGAATTAGATTTTTAATATTGAATTTTGATTCACGAAATATAACGTAAGAATGAATTCGCCCCCCAATATAAGGACATGTAGAGATTTTCTTACCCCCCCCCTTCCCCTCAATGCCCTTACGTAATTAAAGAATGGCCCCATTATTCAATTAATAAAATCATTAATTTCTATTACGAATATATTATTTCTAATCTTTAAGGCCTTTAGATCAAAAAAATTTTTAATTTCTATTCCAAGTAGAACATTTTTTCATTAAAAGAAAAAGTGCCACTAATAGGGGCTTAGAGGTGCCACTAATGGGGTCTTTTAACTTGTTTAATTTTTTAAAATTCCAAAAAAGTAATTTTTTTATGCAACTTCAAAATTTTACGTCGAATCGTTCGGTAGGTAATTAATAATCTTTTTGTGCTTGAAAAACTGCGTCGCATGCTGCAAGTACTATCAAAAACTATTGATTTGTTCGGAAGATATCGCAATTAAAAATTTTCAAAAAGTATGTTCTTAACAACCGCTAGGATTTCGAGCTCGAATATCTCGAAAAAAAATTAAAGTTGTGTTTTTGAGCTCGAATAGCTCAAAACTTCGGAATAAATAATTATTTCGAACGTTTTGTTCATAGCGGGAAGTTCTTAACTGAAAAAAAAAATAAACTTGATTCGAGAGAAAAATTCTTGAACCAAGAGTATAATTTTGAAGGGGGTAATTGTCTTGAATGAAGACGAAAAATTCTTGAATCAACTAAAATTTCTTTAAATCAAGAAAAATTTATTAGTTCAAGAATTTTTCTACTCAAATCAAGAAGATTAAGTTCTTTAATATTATATACTTGATTCAAGAACATTTTTTTTCTGTACAGGGATGGCCTGTAGGGTCAACCGTTTTCCAGATTTTCTATTATGTTTTGCTTGTCTGAAAATTGAAATTATGTATGCTCTAAAAATTTTTAATCGAAACTTTTATATATTTAAGTCACTTAGAATTTGTTTAACTTTCAATATTGCTAAATAAACATTTGTTAATTAAATAATTTATAAAATACAGTAGTGATAATTATTTTTCTGACTTTTATTTATTTCTATTCTTAAGTAATGTCTACTTGATAGAAAAAAATTGAAATGTCGTTGATATTTTCCGAAATTTCGTTAACATAATCAGACGTCATCGTTCGAAATTATTTGAAGTACTCTACTTTAAAGGTTTAAAAATTCTTTCGGGACCCCTTAAAAATTTTTATTGAACTGATCTTTGGAGAGGGCTCTTAAAACATGATAAACTAACGTATTTTTATAGAAAATTCGAAAAAAAAATTAGTCGGTTTTTTCGTGACACCCTAATATCTTTTCATAAAACTGTTGATAAAATTATAATTGAGAAATTTTTGAAAATTACGTTTTTCACAATCTTTTCCATTGAATCTGAGCGGACAGTCGCATTTGTATGACCCTTGTAAATCAGTACATGATCCTCCGTTTTTGCATGGAGATAATAATTCACATTGCTTCAATATGTTTTCACAATTTATCCCCGCATATCCATATTCACAAATGCAGGAGTAACCAAAAACGCTGCTAGAAATTTGACAAACACCATGAATGCACGGATTCGAACTACAAGAATTATGGAGACTCGTTGATGTAATAATTGATGGAATATATGTTGGTGTCATAGCTTCAGGATAAAATGCGGGTATTGTAGATAAAATAGTGTTTGATAGCCGAGGAGTAGATGAAATTTTACATTCATCAATATTTGCTGAGTCAACCGTAGATTTTAAAAGATGTAGATTCAACAAAAATCCTTCGAGCTGTAAAAATATATTTTTTTCTTAAGTTAACCCGTTGAGGACACACGTTGAAAAAATTACGTTGAGGACACACGGGGTCCAGTGAACCACACTCAGCAAAACAGTTCTAATTCGTTTCCTATGTGATGTATTGACTCATACTTGGCACTAAACTTTAATATAAAATTCCCTCTAAATATCTTAATAGTTATTGTTAATTTCTAATAATTTAAAAATACTGAAAAAAAAAACTTAGAAAAAAAAACTTACGAAATTGAACTTTTTTTATGAAAAAAGTTGCAGAAATTTTGATTTTTACGATATCAAAAAAAACTGACGCCATTGTATTCGGAAAACTATATATTTTGAAGAAAAAAATCAACATTTGATGAAGTTTGAAAAATATATATTCATTCTGAAGTTTGAAGTTAAGAATTTCGGTCAGTCGCTTAAAATGAAAATAAGACATTTTAACATGCAAAATAATAAAAAAAAATTTAGTTTTTTGTTATAAAACTCTTTTATTGTACACAGAAAGAAAAATTTCTTGACTGGAGAACAAAATTCTTGGCTCAAGAAAATTTTCGGGTGCCTGAAAGAAGACCGAAGCTGTCTTGGCAGAAGTAAAAATTTTTCTTGAAATTCTATTCTTGGTGGAAGTCATTTTTTTAAAATTCAAACTATCATAAATACTTGATACAATAAATTTTTGTATTTGATCAAGATTTTTAGATACTTTAGGGAAACAGCGCCACCTACTTCAGCTGAGAAAAAAATTTTCTCACCTTGAGAAAATTTTTCTCTTGAATATTTGATACCCATTTTATATTATTTTACCGTGCAAATATACATATTGAATGAAATAAAATGATTCAACATTATTTGATCTTCCCATTTGACATGTTAATCAATAAAAATATTTTAAAAAATTTACTTCTATCGAGATATTTAATTTTTTGGAGCAAGAGGCTGAATTTCGAGAAGAGTCGATATCTCTCCCTAAAATTAATAAAAGGATTAGCGTAAAGAACGCTTACTATGTTGCAATAAAATATTTTAATCTTTTACCTAATAATCTTAAGATATTAAATTGTAGTAAAAAAACACTAAACTATAAGATAAAAGATTGGATTAAGAATCTGTCATTGTAAATGTACAAAAATTTTGTGTAATATTAACATTTCTCAAACTATTTATGTATTTTGTATTTTTATATATATTTTTAAATATTTTGTAAAATTATGATAATTTATCTAATATCTATCTCTATGTACAGATGCCTATGCATCTCTATAGACCTGTATACTAGAAATAAATAAATAAAAATAAAATAAATAAGAGAGAAATTTTCTCAAGACAAGAAAATTTACTTCTATCAAGAACTAAATTTTTTGGAGCAAGAGGCTGAATTCTCTCAAAACAACAAGATTTTCTTGGCTTAAATGAATTTTCTTAGATCAAGATACATATTTCTTAAAGCAAAAGAATTAATTTTGTTGGAATAAGTGAAATTTCTTGAAACCTTTTTTTCTGTGTAATTATTACAATAAAAAAATAGAAATATCTTCAAAAATATCAATGAAATCAGTTGTAAATGAGACTGTCTCATTTATAAATCTCCTTCTAAATTTAACATTGCCTCAAAATTCGCCTGAGATCCACTGGAGCCCGTGTGTCCTCAACGGGTTAAACAATAGTATGTCTTAAATAATAAACTACTTTTAATATTGATAGTTACCAAATTAATGCATCCATGAAAACTCCGTGTGACGTCGACTTTTGGATTTATTGTTATTCGACTTCTATTCACACCGCCAATATACATATAAGTGTTAAGAGTTATAGTCTTTGCTATTCCAGGAGCTCGTCCTTCGACCAAAGGTTCCCCATTCACAGACAATTTTCCATCTTTGAAGTCACGGTTGAGGGTAACTCGTGTCCAAACTCCGGGTTGAATCACGTAATTGGATCGTACCACAGCCATCCCCGAGCCAATATCAAAGCGAAACTCAACGAGTCTATCTTTGATAACAAGAGCAATAAAATGACCATGACCTTCATCACTTTGTGAGCAATACATCAAGATCCCATCTCCATTATCCGAAGGATTGAAATTCATTGTCAGCTTAAATCTACACATACAAACTTGTGTTAATAATCACATTTATATTATTGAAATTATTAAAAAGCCGATAATTTATGTTAACAGCAACCAAAAAAATTTTTTGTTAGTAAAGCATTTTTTTCAAAACAAATTTGATTATTTTTTTTTTTTTAATTATTTTGTGTTAATAGATTCTCTGCAGTTTATTAGTTGTTAACAACTTAAAATAATACCTTCATAAATTCTAGAAGTTAGAAAATTAATAATCAACATTACAAATTTTTTTACTTTGATTCGTTCCGAACTCAAATAATGAACTCAAATTTGTGAGTTTATTTAATATTTGTGTACATATCTGTGATCAGTCATGGAGTTCCGTTTTTTAGGCAGAGGTTGCATTTTATAAAAAATTATATATAAAATATTCGGAGTGAAGTTGGGACTCGAAATTGTTATCTCTGGCTCTAGTTCTGTCCTCCTTGAAGTGATTACCATTATTTTCATAAAAAAAATACTCATTTTAAACCAAGTTTATTGCAATTTCATTTTCAAAGAATATATTTATATTTGTTAGTAAATTTTAAAATAATAATTACTAGCAAACTTGCAGTCACTATGTGACTGCCGTGACTTGTGAACTATGAATAAATAAAATTTTGCTTTATTAAATAGTGACTTTTGTTAAATTGCACTGTACTTTTTTAAATATTGACCTTTTTAAAGATATAAGCTCATCCCGATGCTACACTCATCAAGAGCTTTCATTTGAGTACCCACATCAATTTTGCATATATTTATATATATCATATATATGTAT